GATAGCATTGCCCACAGCAAAATCAGGTTTCTGAAAAGGCAGAAGATTGGAAATAAAATAATTTGTACGTGTAGAGAAAGCGATGCTATTTTGTTATTTTCCAAAAATCTTGAAAAAAGTTGGAAAAAGGTGGAAGGAAAATAAAGAACAATTAATTGATGACATCATGTAATTGCCTTCAAAAAGCGTGTGGAAAAAAAATCACCTTTCTTTATAAAATGATCTGGAAGCTGATTTGATATGGAGATTAAATATGTTATTCACTCCTCTTGAATAGGAAAGCCAATTTTCAGAAGACTCTTTTTCTAGAGGGTTTGTCTCATGACTCTTGATATTTTAATATTAGAAGCAGAAATGCAATAGATGTCTTTCTTTGAATAAATAACAGGGCGGTCAAAAAAGTCAAGATGGGGACCATAGCCACAGGATTGAAGCTATGCGATACTCAGTCATGGCTGCCATTTTTACTTGTTTTACAAGCCTACCTTCCCGCAGATGCCTCCAGCTAACACTTAAGAGTGAATATAGTGATTAATGCTTTGCTGTCCTTTCATGATATTCCAGAACCTACTGTGTGAGTTAAGTCCAGTTGTCCTACTTACAGTTCATTTGGCCATGCTTTTAATTTTGCATCTAAAATTCCAGAATTTCTGGGGGGAAAAACTAGGCATTGTACAAGAAGTACTTTGTATCTAACAGCTGCTTCTGTCTATTCATAAGGAAACTAACTGAGCTCAATGCCATTTTCTCCAAAGTAAGCAAGTGTAGAATTACGGACTAATTTCCATTTGTTTTTATCTCAGAAGAGAAAAGGCCAATATTCCCACCTGACTTTGAGTTTACAAAGTCATTGCTGCAGATGACCCAGACAATGGAATCATTTGGCAAAGAAACCCGACTGAAAAGTTATTCTACAACATACTTTCAACACTTGTTTTATTCCAATTACTGATATGAGTGTTAAATGTAAGTGATGACATACTGGCTTCAAAGAGAAGCCAGTATGCACAATTTTTGGTGTTCATATTGACTCAGGCAAAAAAATCCATATAATTTGTTCCATCTGCCTAAATGTGGTGACCATACTTAGATGTCAGAAAAAGATTGTCTCCAGGAGCTCAGGATGGATTATGTGGGATTTCTCTTAATTTTATTCTTGCAACACTACTTTGTAAGGTAGATTGGGCTGAGAAAGTGTGACTAGCCCAAAGTAACCCAGCAATTTACCAAGCCTGAGAGTGGACCTGAATATGGGTCTTCCAGTCCCAGTCCAACGCTTTAACCATGATCGCACAAAGGCTTGTCTAACTCCTGAAACAAAGATTTCCACAGCTCTATGTAAGCATTAGTCCATGAACTGAAGGACATGGCTAGGTTGGTCTAAATAATCCGCTCCAATGAAGGAAACACAGGGGAACCTTTAAAAGATTTCTGCATGATTTAACACACTATTTATCAGTGACTTATCTAGGCATCAGATGGCAAAGTGCAGCTGTTAGCATCCAAAGGAGTTCATGCTCTGTGGGAGGTGAGGTGAGGTCCAGTGATCATGAGAGATTGGGAGAGGCACAGTTACAGGGAAAGGTGAGCTGAGTCTTGAAGAGAAAAACAGACAATTGTGTAGTGTGTGAAACCTATGCATCACCTACATTTCTGGTTCTGCAAATTCAGAGGGAGCTTCTAACTGGGATAATTTACCTGCAGTTTTCTGGCCAGCGATGTGAACACTGGAGGAAATATCTGGATTTTGAGACTTCTGGGGGCTGAAAAAGTACATAGGAAAACCATATAACATGGCAGTCAGCAATCTAACAAAACACTAAACTGCTCTGGAAGTCAAGAACATATGAACATAAGAAAAACTCTGCTGGACTGGGCTATGGACCCATTTAGTTCAAGATGCAGTATTGCACAGTGGCCAACTGATACCCTTGGGAAGCTCGCAAGCCTGAACTGAAGGGTGATAGCTCCTTTCCACTGTTGGATCCTAGTAACCAGCATTTGATGCATACTGACCGTGCTTAAGAGGCAATAAACAGCCATCAATATTAGTAGCCATGGAAGCCTGATCCTCCTGTAAACCTCTCTAGTCCCCTTTTAAGATCAGTTACAATTGCTGGCATCAAATTCCTCAGTTTAACTATATGAGGTGTGAAAAAGTATTGAGACAGAGAGAAACTACCTTCTTATGCCATAAATGATTTTATTTACCTTTCTCATGTTTCCTCTTACTCTCCTAGTTCAGGCTAGAGTGTCCTCACTGCTGTCATCTTTCTTCATAGGAGATGTGCTTCAGTCCCCAGATCTCCTGCTGTGCCTTTTTCCATTATGGGAATATCCTTTTAAAGTTGTCATGGCCAGAACTGAACCTAGTTCTCCAAGGGTGGTCTCACCATAGGCTTGTATAAGGATCATTCTAAAGAGGATGGTACATCATTATATCAACAGCTGTGTTTTCAATTCCCTTCCTAAAACAAGCATAGAAATTGCTTGTTAACAATAACTGCACACTGTGTTAACATTTTGATTGAAATGCTAATGGTGACTCCAAGATCACCATCCTGGTTAGGTTATGTGGATGGATTTTATTTATACATACATACATACATACATACATACTGGTTCACAATAAACTGGATTTGCCATAATGAAGTTGATTTACCAGTGTGGAGATGTACTTTTGGAGACCTTCACAATATTTTTTTGATTTTACTACTTTGAACAATTTGGCACCATCAACAAACAGGGGCCCTTTACTGCTCAAGCCTAGCAGATAGAAAGCACCGGTCCCAACACTGATCTTTGGTGGACTTCACTTTGACATCTTGCCAGAATGCCCATTTATTCCAACTCTGTTTCCTGGTTTTTTGTCCAGTTACCAATCCATGACAACAGCTTTCCATCTTATTAGCTGGTAGTTGAATTTATTCAAGGATCTATAGAGAAGGACTTCACCATTCATGAATACATACATACATGCTCTTGCTATCTCTGTTTCTCTCTCCCTCAAGCTATTCCCTGGTTGACTTCCTATTCTGAATATATTTGAATAATCTTTTGTTGTTTGTCATGTGCTCATCAAAGGTTTTTTTTCCCCCCCCATCTTTGATCAACTGCCTGCATTTTTTTGTCAGGACTAATTTTACTTTTTGTTCTCCTTCTTTCAGCAAGAGTTCTTGTCTTTAATAGCATTTCTCAACTGCTTATTAGCCATTGTGGTGTTCTTTTGGATTTCATGATGCCTTTCCCTGATCTGAGGTTTATGTTCTAACTGTGATTCTATTATTGTGGTTTAAATAATTGCCATGAATTGCAGAGAGAATTGGCCTTCTTAACTCTCCCTTTCAACTTTCTTTTTACCAGTTCCCTCATTTTTTGAAAGTTTGGGGCTTTTTTTAATGTCAAACTTGATTGCTTTGAATTTTCTTTAGAAGCACCTACTTATATGCATGTGGAAGATCATAGCATTATGATCCCTGTTCCCATTTGGCTGAATAATTTTTAAGTCCTGGAAGAATTCTGGGCACTAGTTATGATCAATCTGGTGTTGACTCCAGACTAGATGTTCCAGAGCATAATCATTAAGGGTATCTAGAAATTAGGTTTCCATGTCAAGAACATGCATTTTCCCAGTCTATGTGAGGATAATTGAACTCCTCCATTACTATTATTATTTCTTTTTCAAATACCTGTCTAATTCCATTTTCCATCTGTAGGTCAGCTTTAACTTCTTGATCAAGAGGTCACTAATGTGTTCCTACTTAATTTGAGGAACTGATCTGAACTGCCACAATGACTAGGTGAGAGTTTGCTCCACTTGTGAGTTCTCCTTTGCGGGATTCCAGTAACTCTACCACCAATACATCCTTCTTTATCTTTTCTGTAGATCTTATATTAAGAGATAACCATCTTCCACCAGGTCTCTGTCAAACCTGTTACAGTTAAGTTTTCTTCTAACATCAAGCACTCTATTTCTCCCAATTTGGCTTGGAGGTTTCTGATATTGGTATATAAACACCTATATAGTCTTACCCTTGAATTTCCTATGGCTATTATTCTTATAAGTTTGTGGTTTCCTTGACTGATTATGTTCATTTCCTAGATCTACACTGCCTCTCTGAACAGTTACAAAAACATTCACTCTCACTGGTGATTTTCCTGAACAAGATCCTTGTCATATCTGGTTAGCTTTTCTCTTGGAATCTGTTGAAAAACTGATCTCTCACATTTTTGATATTATACACCAGCAGTCTAATAATCTCCTACGTTTAATCCCCTCTGAGTTGAAGGGTAGATTTTCTTTCTCTTCTAAATTATGTTAAGCCTATTTTATGACAACATTACCACCAGTACATCCTTCTTTATCTTTTCTGTAGATCTTATATTAAGAGATAACCATCAGTTCTAGTATGTTTCTTACTTCACCATAGCAGCTGATTTTCAGTGACCCCACCACATTCTAGGTTGGGTTTGCAGTGAGCTACTCAAAATGAGTTAAGGGTCTTGTTGCTCATTTTTGCCTGGCTGCTCATTTTAATTTTAAAATTATTTTTTTTTTAATTAAAATGAGCAACCAGGCAAAAAAGACCCCATCACTTTTTTAGATTATTGAGTCAGCCTTACTTTTACCTTTTTTTCCTCTTCCAATGTTTAACTGAAAATTACCCCCAAAGAATATAAGCCCATTAGATCTGCTTTGGGCTCTGTGCCCAGCACTGAACAAAATCAGTGTAGAACAATTTTATCAGAGCCTCACTCAGCTTTCTCTTCTCCAGGCTAAACATAACCTCTTCCTCCAACTTTTCCCCATAAGACCTGTTCTCTGTAGTGTCGGTCATTCTATGCTTGTTTGTGAAAGTTGGGTTGCACAAAGCTGTGCTTAAAACTCCAGATGAGGTTCGTGTGAAGTAGAAGAAAACATGGTGTATGGTTATCGCTTCCTTTGACATGTATGCTATGGTACTTTGAATGCAGTTTAAAATTGCATTCATCTTTTTGCAGCTAGATCACACTGCCAACTTAAGGGAAGCCTGTTCCAGGAAGGCACGGAGGAGCCATACTCATTGTTCCAACACAAAAATAGCTATCTCCAGAACACCATCTGTCAACAAAGAAATAGCACTTCTTCATTTTTTTTTTTTTTTTACAATTTTGGCCTAGGCTTACGTTTAGTACTTCAAGAAAACATCACCATCTTAGCTGACTGTTAGGCCTAACAACTCCAGTTTGAATGAAATTAACAAGCCTGTATATTTCAAATAACTAGGCCATCAACAGAGTAGCCTTTACTATTTATTCTGATAAAGCATTCTTCTAGCTGCAGCACATTAATATATTTATTGTCATTTGAAAGTTAATGCATTGCTTTAATCATGGTTTTATTATCCAACTACATCTCATAGCCCTTTTCTTTTATACACTGATAAAATCTTGTTTCTCTAGGTTTTGGTTCTGCAATTGTAGCCATCTAGATATCTAGGCAAAGTAATAGATGCATAAAAATTAAACCTGTCTGTGAACAATATGGGCCAAAACAAGTATACCTATTTAAAATCAGGCTTTAATCAGCTTCACAGAAAATGATTGTATTGATACAAATATAGAGAAGTTTTGTGAATCAGCTGTCAGAAAAATGATTCAGTAATGTATATGAACCCTAGGTCACCTCATGTCTAAAGATAATCCAGATTGTATGTATGTTTTAAAGAGGGAAAATGCAACTGTTTTTACATGTAAATCAAGTATAGTCTGAACTACCATTTAATACTGCTGTTGTAGAATTTTGTTTAACTAAATCTTTGTAACCCTATTCAGTATTATTTAGGGAATCTGCAATTACAGGAAGATCGTTTAGACTAGACTACAGCCAATACCATATATTTGCATTTTTATGAGACAAGCAAAGATAGACAGAGACAGACAGATAGACAGACAGACATAGGCCATAGCCCACCTGAGAGTCAAGCATGCTTTAAACAAACTGAAATAATTGAATCATAGGTATTTTCTCTCAAAATATGTATTTAATTATTCCATTGATAATGCTTATACATCTGAGAACAATGACACAATATTCACCGAAATGCAAACATTTCCAAAAAGCTAATTTTTAATCTTCAGATTAGTGCAGGAAGAATGCAGATCAGGTCTTTTTATATAAGAGTTTACAAAGGTCAAGTCCATCCATACAAAATTAATTCTATAATAGCAATGTTGTTGATCTCCCAGTACTATATGTAGCTTTAACAATATTTTTTTTTTTAAAAAGTGTTAATTGTCAAGTTCAGATCCACTTCTATATCTTGACATTTTTTGAAAGAAAAAAAACCTTATAGCTGAGTTAAAGGACTATTTTTTTTTAAAGTAAACTGATCTTTGCCTAATTTTAGTGGCGTATTCCATAATTTTGGGAATGAGGATTTTCCTATTTCTATATTACATTCTCAGAATTAGCAGATCTCAAACTGGGCAATTATTATCCTTTCTTATCCTGTTCCTCTCCTGACAACAATGAAAATGAGGGTGTCACAGCTAAGAAAATATTTTGTCCTACTTTGGAATGACACTGATCATCCTGAACAAAGCACCCCTTTTATTACCTGATCTCTGTTGCTTGGGTAGACACAAAGTCTTTGTAAGTGTGCTTGTTGCTTTATGAACAACCATCTTCCTGGGCCTCTAAATCCACAGATGAGTATTCATTTTCCTTTTATCAAGCGACTCTAAATATGGTTCTGATCAGTATGTAGTAATCCCTGTGTTTAAGAGACATAAGACACTGGTGCATTGGGACATTCTTTCTGCTCAGCTCTTGCTGACGTCTGATGCTTAAAACAGAGCATGCTTTCATCCTTCTGTGCATTGTCGCAACCCCCTAGGAATATTTTTAAAAGGTGCTGCAGTTACTGGGGGAAACATTCGCCGACCAAAGCAGATGCAGATACGTTGGTTTCAGTGTCCGTGAATGCTGCATTGTAGTTTCAACTTTGCATCAGCCTGACAACAGAAGGGACCATGTCTAACTTTGGCTACAGGCGAGAGCTTAGTAAATATGAAGACCTAGATGAAGACGAACTCCTTGCTTCTCTTACTGATGAGGAGCTGAAGGAGCTGGAGAAAGAGCTGGAGGATATTGAGCCTGACCGGAACCTCCCTGTGGGGCACAGGCAAAAGAGTTTAACGGAGAAAACTCCCACAGGAACTTTTAGCCGGGAGGCACTGATGGCCTACTGGGAAAGAGAGACCAAGAAACTTCTTGAAAAAGAGAGGATGGGGGCATGTGAACAGGTAGGAGAGCAATTGCATTAAGTTGGCCCCAGAAATATACCCTTCCATTTTTTACTTTTATTCACTGGAATAGTTTCCCTTCTCTGAATTTTCCATCAAGCTAAAAGGCCAACTGATCAAGAGTAGAATATTTATTAAAGGGTGGATGCTGTAGAACAGGGTGGATGCTGTAGAACAGAATATTTATTAAAGGGTGGATGCTGTAGAACAGGGTTCCTCAACCTTGACAACTTTAAGACAGGTGAACTTCAACTCCCAGAATTCTGGAAGGCTGGCTGGGGAATTTTGGGAGTTGAAGTCCACCCGTCTTAAAGTCGCCAAGGTTGAGGAACCCTGCTGTAGAATAATAACATACATTCTCTTCCATTGGAAGAGGGCTAGTAGATTATCATCCCAGTGGGTTCATTGCTTCAGAAGTGTACTTCTTTAGACTCTAGATGGGATATACATTTTAGATATATAAAATGCTTCCCAGGATGCTAGTTGATAGTGTGAAGATCTTTTTTATTTAAAAATATTCTTTTTACATGAAGGAATATCCAAAAATATGATCATAGTACGAGCTGAGCAATACTGAAATGGTCACAGTCAGATTGTATGTGTTTTTGCTAAATGTATCACTCATATCTCAGCTTCAGTAACACAGCTGATATCAAATTCTGTTTAGCATTGCGCTACAACAGATGTGGCCTACCACATTTCAGACTTGCAGCATTTAATCTGCTTTTAGAAAAACCCTGAAATCCAGCAACAGAAGCTAGGACAAAATGGTGACTCAACGGAGGATGTTAATTATTGCTTGCATTTCGTGAGTTATTATATACACAGACGGGATCTGAATGTTTAAGAGCCTTATTCAGATTTTCAAATCATTCATGTGATAAGGGCATGTGGAGATATGCACACTAAGTTCAATCTACTTCTTTCTATTGTTTTGTTCATCATATTTTCCAGGATTTCAAATTGTACAGAAAACCCCCAGAAGTAAGAAACTGGCATGCATAAGTTTGTACTTCAGATGTTTGTTTCTGACATACTGTATGAACAGCAAAAGGAGGACAATATAGTTATATTTCCCTCCTCTCTTACCATTAGAATAATTTGACTGTCTGAATAAGGCCAAGTACAAATCTAATCACAGGTATTACAAATGGTGATAATGAGTTGAACATCTTTGCTGACCTGCTGAAAATCATTCCATGATGTACCAAGTCCCCATCAACTTTCTGTCCATCCCTTCCCTTTCCCTTCCCCTTCCTTTGTCCCTCCCTTTCTGTCTCCAGCTCCCCAATTTCAAAGGCTGTTGAAGAAACTTCATCATAACAGCTTTATAAACTCAGGAAAGTTTCCAAAGCAATTTGTTAGAATGAGATGGGAAGGAACACTGCAGTTCATAATACACTAAAAAGTATTGTAATCAAAACATCATATAAATCCTACTTCACATTTACCATAGATAGATAGATAGATAGATAGATAGATAGATAGATAGACAGACAGACAGACAGACAGACAGACCTAGATGATAGATAGATCTTGGGTGACTCTGGAAACTAGAAAATGGGCTTTTCAGCACATTTTTTTAAAATGTGGTTTTAGAAGGAAATATGAAGATGAAGCCACCTCTTCCTTTTTCAACCTCCTAAAAAAAGGCCAGACATTTCAAATTTCAGTTCAGTCTCCATCAGTGATATCATCATGTCAGCACTGTGCTGAGTATACAGCCATAATAAATAAGGAGAGTGACCCATGTCTATCAAAAGATGGGATGAGGCAAAATCAGAGAAAGATTAGAAATACTTGGTAGGACAATAATGAATATTAAACTAGAAGAAAAAGGTTTCTACACAACTACAGGTAAGATGGTCTCTCCACCTAGCCAAATATATCAGATTTATGATTTTTTATCATATACATCTTTGTTTCTTTTGTAACATAACATTGTTTTTATGCAGCAGAGAATTGTAATAAAACATAACAACCAGTAAAGAGAGAATAACATTCCTAGCAGGATCCAGATTACAGGGCTTTCTTTAACCTTGAACTGATAAAGTCATGTTTCTCCTCATGAAAAACAGCACCATTCTTATCAGAACCAGGCTCAAGGAATTTATCCTAGTGCTTCAGCCAGGGTGTTGGTATGCAGTCCAAGTATTAATATCTGTTGGTCATCCTGACTTTCCAAGGGCAAAAGTTAATAACAATAACAAGCAGTGTTATAAAGCAAATAAGAAAAAATTAATGAAGAAAAGAGCAGGATTCAGAGTTATGTAATTCAACAGTATATCTAAATAGCAACAACAGTCATTATGTCTGAACTGGGAAGGTACAAGCACAGTTAATTCTAGACTTAATTTCAACCTACACTTGACACTGCTTGGCACTTCTCTGAAATTGTTCTGTATTTCAAGCCCAATGATTGTAATTCAAGCTTCAAATTTTAAGGACAAAGCACTTACGCTACAGGCATGGAGTCTGCATGGATAATATTCCATTACAGTTCAACAGAGTTCTAGTTCCCTATCCCAACACACACACACACTTGTGGGTGTCTGCCTGTGTAACAGCAAAAGGAGAACAATCACGTTAGGCAAAATTAATGGTCTTGGGTGTACTGCTGATATTCCGTTTTTCATTCTGGAACTTCACATGGTTGGAGGAAAACTAATTGTACCAGCTTGAAACTGAAATGTTATATGGTGGGAGATCAAAGTTTTCTATGCTTAATTGCTGGATCCAGAGTTTGAATGGCGGGACATTCCAAGGTTTTTTCACGGCCTTGTTATTAAAATATATATTTGTATTCATCCAGGATTTTCTCCTCATTTCAGTCCTAGAACCAATAAAGTGAGACTATTGCTGGCAATTAGGAAAAAAAGGGCATAAAACTGTTTATACAGTTAAGAGGGCTGAATTAGAATTCTAATTCTTTGGGGGGGGGGGATGTTGAGCATTTCAGTGAGATTCAAGCAAAAAAAGTTACCTATGTTGTGGTTAATGCAAGCTGAGTAAAGAAGGGATCCAAACAAGGTAACTTGGAAGGACTCACTGACATATCACTATATGAGATATCAAAATTTATTTATTTATTACTTTATTAATCAAATTTATATGGCCGCCCATCTTACTGAAGATGCATATTGTGCATATTGACCAGACAATACATTCTTTCCTGATCTGCTAGTTGAGAAGTACTCCAGGTTACATTTGGATAGACAGCTTAGAATGGGATGGGCAACTTTTTCTGGTCCAAGGATCTTACTTGGACTTTGAATGGCATGCTAAGGATCCAGAAATAGGACATATACACAAACAAAAATAAATTTATTTACATTGAAATTTACTTACAATTAATTGTGTTCTATAAATTCACTCGTTAAAAATTACAGTTTGGTAACAACATCAACCAAAGCCAGTGTAATGGTTAAAGGCACTAGGCTAGAAAGTGGGAGACTGTGAATTCTAGTCCTGCCTTAGGCATGAAGCCAGCTGGGTGACCTTGGGCCAGTCCTTCTCTCTCAGCCCTAGGAAAAAGGCAAGGGCAAACCACTTCTGGAAAAGTTGCCAAGAAAACTACAAAGACTTGTCCATGTAGTCACCACAAATCAAGACTGACCTGAAGGGATCAATTAAATAAATAAACACTGAGCTCTCTGGGGACTTTCTCCAGTGCTTACAAGGACCTTGTGCAGGATGAAGTTTCAGGCTGTACCCCTCTGGATTAGAAGAGTAAATGAATTACACATCATGCTAAATACCACATTTTAAAACTCACTTAAGCACCAATCATTTTCTTCTTTTACCTTACTCCAGATCAGAAACATGCTGGATAGGGTGGGAGCTAACCCTTTTTTTAAAACTAAAATCACCACCCACAGCTGCTACTTCCCAGAGTGCTATTCTCTGAAAATATCTAACAGCCACTTGGAGGCAAATGGTGGTTACAACAATAGTAGTTCTGTTGTTAGTCCTTGTAATATTGTGAATACTTTCCAGTAGGTATCATGACATCCAACCACAACATTCTAAATGTCAAAGACCTTCAATAAATTGTGATCTAATGCTTAGGTACATGGGGTATGTTTTGTGCAAAACTATTCTTTGAAGATGCAGTATTTGCTTCTCAAAAAACAAATGAAAAAATAATGATGCATAATTTTTCTGTGTACAGTTGTCTGGAAAAGGTCTTCAGGAAAGCTCACTGGAATGAAATTTGAGAACCTTTAGACTTAAAGTGTGTTTTTATTCTTTACTTTTGATCATGACTGAACCACCATTTCCTTTTAGGATTATAAGCAAGAAGAAGAAGAAGAAGAAGAAAATGGTGATGGGTCAGAAGAAATTAAAGAAGAATATTTCACAGAAAGTAACAGTGAAATTTCTGAAGAGGCACACAATGAAGAAGATGAAGAAGAGGACAGAGAGGATGAAAACAAAGAGGATGAGAAAATCAATGAGGAAGATGATGAAGGGGAGGAAGAGGATGAAGAA